CAGCAGGAAAGAAAATCAGTAATATATGAAGCAAGTTTTTCCATTCTAACTAATCTGATAATGAACTAAATCTATAATTCAGTAGTACAATTATAGCCTCAAATTCTCAACTACATGAAAAATTTAAAATATAAAACAGGTTAAAATTTAATTTAATAATTTAATCTCATACTCAAACGTGCAGAAATGCAATTTTGCTTCTTCTCCCTACCTGAATTCAATATGCTTATCGGCCCCTGCTTCCCCTGATAGCAGAAAAATCTAACCGTGTTGATGAATGATAACTAGTTAATGCCTATTTAAAACTTAACTGTACTATTGTGTAAATACTGGGTTATATTGGGGTTTCTTCTTGCTCCTCCTTTTTGTTTCCATGGGCAGATCACAGGCTGCGGGCTTGTGGATAGCCCAGCATGGGGGTAAAGTGTCAGCCTCTGTAGCTGCTGTTCATGGTACCTGCAATGGGCTCAGGCTCTGAGGTCTAATCACCTGGACACTTGGACCTCCGTATCAGCTACCAGCCTTTGACACACTTATATCCTCAGTCCATCCATATTACCCATCCTGCTCTCACAGCCCTGGGGACCTCAGTAGCCTACTTCACACAGTGCTTCAGTGATCAGGCCGTTGAGAAGCAGCTCCCAGAAACTTCCATGTTGCTACGTCTCATAGCCATTGCTAACCTGTCTGTCTTCCAGCCAAGTTTTGCTCTGAGGCCATGCTGAATTTGAAGCCTCTTTAGTAGGGCTTACAGTCATCATTGTTGTAGGAATCAGGGAAGAAATAACTTCTTGCGTTTTCCAAAATCTATCTTGTGGCCTCCATCCTCATTCACCTAAACCTCATCAAATTTCAATCTCCCAGAGATACCCAAAGAGCAGGTCCCACACCGTGTAACTCTTATCTCTGCCAATTTTCTCCTAACGTCCTCTACCCAGACTAGAAAGAGTTTTGCTCTCCTTTCATGTAATGGGAAATTACAGTTTTATAATATATACTATCCTCCATACTATTTCACTTAAAAAAGGCTCTACCCCAGATCCTTCAAATGCTTTTTTTTTGCTATTTAAAAGAAAGGTTTTTTTATTTTCTTCTCTCCTTTTCAAATATTGCCCCGTGACTAATATTTTCCTAAATCACAGATGCGTGAAGTATAACATTATTTTTTTTTGAAAATTGAGGAAGATGGCCAAAAAAATTAAAAGAATAAAATTTTCGTTATATATAAATTATATATAGTGATATATTTGTAATTATATAAATTATAGAAAAGGATAAGAACTCATGTCCACACAAAAACCTGAACATGAATATTTACAGCAGCATTATTTATAGTTGTCAGAACTTGTAGGCAACGAAGATGTCCTTCAGTAGATGAATGTATAAACAAACTGCACTACATAGAGACAATGGAATATTATTCAGAGCTAAAAAGAAATGAGCTATCAAACCATAAAAAGACATGGAGGAATCTTCAATTCATGTTACTAAGTGAAAGAAGCCAAACTGAAATGGTTACATGCTGTATGATTCCAACAATATGACATTCTGGAAATGACAAAATTATTGAAACAGTAAAAAGATCAGTGATTGCCAGGGATTGGAGTAAGGGGCTGGGGGAGGGATGGGTTGACAGAGAACAGGATTTTTAGAGGAGGCAAACTATTCTGTATGATACTGTACTGGTGGATGCGTGTAATTTTCCATTTGTCCAAACCCACAGAATGTACAATACCAAAAGTAAACCATAATGTAGGCTCTGGACTTTGGGTGATGATGATGTGTGATTGTAGGCTCATCAGTTGGAAGAAATAAACCACTGGTGGAAGCTGTTGGTAATGGGGGGTCCTGTGCGTGTGTAGATGCCGGGGGTATGTGGGAATCTCTCTACCTTCCTCTCAATTCTGCTGTGAAACTAAAACTGCTCTAACATAATAAAGTTTTTTAAAAAAATAAACAAAAGTAACAAATAATCAACTTTATTTTTACCTTATAAATTTGATTTATACAATTACAAAATGGAAGTGAATCCTTTTACATCTACATGACTCAAACTGAAAACATTGGAATACTGTAATAAGTCAACAAGGAAGTTATCAGAGCAGTAGTTTTACAAAGTATTTGTGGAATTAACAAGTTCATTTTTTTTCAGTTTTCCAGAATATTTCTCAAGAGTTATGAGTCATTTTTAAATAGAGTCAAAGATAAAACTCCCAAAGTTTTACTCAGAGACACATTTAGGCATGATCTAAACACTTGGCAAAAGAAGAAAACTAGAGCTCACATTCATTTACTATTTAAAATAAGAGCACGTATACTTCAAGACAAAGAGTGTGGTTCAATCAAAGAGAATCTATTAATTTCTGATCTATTAATATAATTCAACCCATCAGTAGATTAAATGTAAAATACCTTGTATTCTGTCACATGAATTTTTGAAAGACCAGTCGATAGATATAACTGAGCATTCATTTCTCATTTCAAACAAACAAACAAGAAATAAGCAACTAAATAATTTATGTGTAAATGGGATTAAAGGATATCTAATGTGATGTGGGTTCAGAATCAGTATTCTATGTACTGGGAAATATACAAAAGTACTGTTCCTTTTTGTTTGTTTTTGGCTTTTTTCCAAAGTTCTATACCATAATTCTTATTTATTGTTGTTTAAAAAGTTTTGGCTATATTTTAGAAAGTTTTGATCAGGACAATGAAACAAAAAAATATATACAATTTGGTTTGAAAAGAGTAAAGTGTTTTAAATATGTCATCTGATTATTTCTTTGAAAAGTTGTATGAAATTAACTAAAATGTACATTATTTAATATACGAGTATCTGGATAGAGAAAACAATAGGATGTGTATATAATTTACTTGATAAATGTTTAATTAATGAAAACAATTCATTTACACTGGAATTTGAGACATAAGTGATATATAACATTATATTGCTTTCAGTTGTATCACATAATGATTTGATATATGTATATATTGTAAAATGATCTCCACACTAAATCTATTTAACATCCATTACCACACATAATTACATTTTTTTCTTGTGTTGAGAATTTTTAAGAGCTATTCCCTTAGTAACTGTCAAATGTACAATACAGTATTATTAACTATAATCTCCACGCAGTACATTACATCTAGTGACTTATTCATTTTATAACTGAAAGCTTGTACTTTTTGACCTTCTTCATCCATTTCGCCCACTCCCCACTCCCCCACCTCTAGCAACCACAAATCTGTTCTCTTTATCTATGAGTTGTTCGCATTTTTGTTTTGTTTTGTTTTTTAGATTCCATACAATGGAAATTTTTAAATGCTTGAAATTCACTGGAATTAAGTTAATGATGAATATGTGAACGAGAGAAATAAAATAATAACCTTAAGTGAAGGGCCTTACCAAAAATATTTTGAAAATAGTAAAAGACACTGGGTTCTTGTATAGGAAGATGAAATATTTCAAAAATGTTTATTCTTCTCCAAGTAAATGTGTTTACGGAAATAACAAATTCTCAAAATTCCAACAGATTATTTTAAATAAAATTATTTTGAAATTAAACTTTAAAATTAAAGTAGGCAAAAATATCAAATAATTATCTAGATTAAAACAATGGTAAATAGAAGTGGGCAGCAGGATTAATCACTCTTATCATATATTACAATGTGTAAAGAAACAATTTTTAAAAAATAGTGTGGAACTTATGGGGAAAAAAAGTAGACACCTGGAAGTAAGCTTTGCTTTATCTGTAGCTATTCATATGAGGTGAAGACATTCTGATTGGGAGAACAAATCTTCCTGAAATACACTAAGCATTCAAATAGTTTAAATACATGCTAAAGGTAACATTTCAAAGCATTGAAGAAAAACTGGGTTACTCATTAAATATGTTGGGATAAACATGATTAAAGAAAGTATCCTGCTTCTCTTGTATAATAGGAGGAATATTCATACCAAATCAGGTTTGTTTTTAAAAGAATATTTCCATTCCAAAAGTAATTTGTAGTAATTTTTACTGGAAAGAAAAGTGGTAAAGAAAACTAGTAACTCATATCCTTCCCAGAGACAACTATCATTAATAGTTCAGTGTATTTCTTCAAGTCTAAATTGAAAGCACATGTTTTGTTGTTGACATCATACTTTATACCCAGTTATAACCCCTGAATTTTTCAATCAACATTCCACTCATTTTCCACTTTATAACAAATGTTTACTCAGCACCATTATTAACTAAGTAGGAGTCTATCATATCAATTCTCAATTTTTTCCTCCATTTATTTAAATGTGTGGGATATTTTAATTGTTTCCTATTTTTCATCTTTATAAAAGTAATTTGGGAACAACTGTGTTCATAAGGTGTTTTGGTACAATGCAGAATAAACTAGGTCTGAATAGTGGTATATTTTGTCCCTTGGTTTTTCTTTGTACGCTCTCAGATATTTGTATAAGAGATAAATATAAAGATGTTGATTTTCTTTTCTTTTTTCCTCCTTCTGTAAATTATTGTTTTATTTAGTATTAGAAGGGTTCAGAAAGGAAGTAAAACAGTTTTGTAAAATAAGCTCTTAAAAAACAAGCAATTATAGTTATTTTTGCGTGGCCTAATCAGTATCCTTTTAAATGTGTAATCAAGTGGCATCTATAATTATTTGAGCCACTTGGCTCATGCTACAGTTGAATCTTCTGAAATTCACTTGCTTACTTTCCTTTTCCTGTTCGTTCAGAGCTTTTAACTAAGAGTTGACTTTTTTTCTTTCTCATAAAGCTTAGTTTTGGAGGAATTCCAGTACCAGGCAAACCTGGGACCTTTTTAAAGAAAAACTTCCACGGATGTATTGAAAACCTTTACTACAATGGAGTAAACATAATTGACCTGGCTAAAAGGCGGAAGCATCAGATCTACACCGTGGTAAGTCAGCATCCTTCTCAGCTTGATGGTTTCTAACATTTTGGGGTAAGTCTTGCTTTCCCCATCCTAACCTTGACCCCTTCTCATAATATGTTTACATTACACTCTTGGAAGTCTTATCAGACTCCCAGGTGCAACTGGAGGTAAAGCAGGGACTGAATTGGTGTGAATTGTTTTGGGGAGAAATAAATACATTAGAGGCACCTACAGAATTCTATCTTCCTGGCTGTGAGCTTGTGCCATCTGTGGGCAGGGTTTGCAGTCTACACTGGACTGACATGAATCTCTTTGTTATCCCTGGGAAATGCAACAGTAGAACCACAGATTCTATTAATTCCACATCTTCGGAATTATATATTTGTATACTTATTGTTGTTAAAAAATAGGGCATTTTGAAGAAGAGAGGTTACACTTTTGGTGTTTTTGAGATTCCCTTTGTACTACTTAGTATGCTGGCAAGTTAAAAAAATAATAATTAATTAGTATTTGTCTTTCCCCAATAGACCATGGGTTTCATGAGGACAAGGAACTTTTCTTTTTCACTACTGCATTCACAGTACTGGTGCTTTGCACATAGTAGATGATCAATAATGGTGTGGACATTTCCAACTATAATTGTGGATTTGTCTATTTCTCTTTCCAGTTCTATCAGTTTTTGCCTCATATATTTTACAGCTCTGTTGTTTGGTACAAACACAGGGTTGATAGAATTGCTATGTGTTGCTAGTGGATGGGCCCTTTTATCATTACATAATGTTCTTCTCAGTTTATGATAATTTTCTTTACACTAAAGTCTACTTAATCTGATATTAATATAACCTTTCTTGCTTTCTTTTGTTATATATTTGATAGATAGATAGAGATAAAAGTAAAAGAATGGAAGAAAAAATATATCAATATATATGCCTATATCATATTTGAAGTGAGTTTATTGTAGACAGTAAATAGTACAGTCATGGTTTTTAATCCACTCTGTCAACCTCTGTTTTTTAATTGGTGCATTTAAATCACTTACATATAATGTTAAAGTTATTGATGTATTAGAGCTCAAATATATATTTTTGTTTGTTTCTTTTGTCTGTTCTCTCTGTTTTTTATTTTGTTTCTCTACCTTCCTGTGTGTTTCTTGAATGATTTTCAGAACTCTATTTTAATTTATCTTGTGTTTGAATATATCTCTATGTATAGCTTTTGTTAATGGTTTCTTTAGGCATTATATTATATACATATAATTTATTACAGTTTACTGATATTTCATCAATTTTAGTGAAGTGTAAAAACCTTACATCCCTTTAAGTTCCTTTACCTTTCCCTGTTTATTATATAACTATCTTAACTAACTTTATTATATAATGTTCTTAATTATTATTTTCTCCCTATATTTTTAGAATCATATCAGTATTTTTTTTCCGGCTGTTGAAGTTGTTGGGATGTTAGGGCTCAAATGTGTGACAGATTCAACCATCAAAAATGATTTAGAAATCTCAAGAGAAAAAGTAAAGTATATTGTATTTACTCATAGTTTTGCTTATTGCTGTTCTTTCTTCCTCCCTGATTTTCCTAGATTCCTTCTTTTGTAATCTCTTTTCTGTTTAAAGAACTTCCATTCTTTTAGGGTGTGTATACTGATGACAAATTCCCTAACTTTTCCTTCATCTTATAATGTCTTGATATCTCTTTCATTCTTGAAGCCTTTGTTCCCTGGACATAAGATTCTGGGTTCATAGTTGTTTTCTTTCAGCACTTGAAAAATGTTGAGCCCCTCAATGGTTTCTGGTGACAAATAAATACACTGTTATTTGATTTTTTTCCTCTACAGATAAGATGTAATTTCTTTCTTACTGCTTTCAGTATTTTTTTTTTTTTTTTTTTGTTTTCATTGTTTTGATTTTCCTCTACAGATAAGATGTAATTTCTTTCTTACTGCTTTCAGTATTTTTTTTTTTTTTTTTTAGTTTTCATTAGTTTGACTATGATGTGTCATGGTGTGGACTTCTTTGGGTTATCCTATTTGGGTTTCACTAAGTTTCTTGAATCTGAGGGATTACATCTTTCACCAAACTTGGGAAGTATTCTGCCATTTATTTGAGTATTTTTTCAGCCTTTTTTTTTCTCATCTCCTTCCTGAATTCCAGAGATATGAATGCTTGATCTTTCCTTATAAAATCACAGGTCCCTCTGTTTATTTTTTTCTCAGTCTATGTTGTCTGTTGCTCAAATTAGGTAGTTTTTATTGTTAGAGTTTCAAGTTGATTAATTCTTTTTCTTATTCCCTTCCTTTTGTTATTGTGCACATTCATTATTTTCTCATGTCTGATATTGTATTTTTCAGTTCTAACATTTTCATTTGATTCTTCTTTACATCTTCTATTTCCTTGTTAAATAAGACTTTCTATTTTTTAGTGAGACTTTCTATTTTCTTATTTGTCTCAAATGTGCAATTGTTATTTGAAGGATTTTCATTATAATGACTGCTTAAAAATATTTGTCAAATAATTCTAACATCTTTGTCATCTCAGTGTTTGCATCTACTGAATGTCTTTTTTAATTCAATCTGAGATCTTCCTGTTTCTTGGTATAACAAGACATTTTTTACTGTAACCTAAACATTTTTAGGTATTATAATGAATCCTATTTAATCCTATGTTTTAGCTGTCTGCCTCTGACACTGTTCCAGTTGGGGAAAGATGGGTTTTGCCTCAATACTGCTAGGCAGGGGTAGAATCCAGATTTCTGCACTAAACCTCCATTGACAAGGGAGGCTCGTTGTTACTCCTAGGTGTAGAGGGGTGAGCATTCTGGTTTCCTGCTAGCTCTTCATGGATACTCTCTGACTGGGAGGGGTAGGAAAACCTTGTTACTCCTCTCTGTGTGACCTCCAGTGACATCACAGCATGTGTGTGTTGAGGGGGGGGGACTCTGGTGGTTAAAGTTCTGACTCTCTCAAGCCATCTGTGGCACCATGCCTGCAAGGAGTGGGTGGGTTCCCTCATTACTGCCTGGTGTGGGGGGAGGTGAATATCAAGACTCCACTAGGCATGTGGTCACCATTGATACTAAGGGGAGAGGCTTGATACTATGTGACAAGGAATAAAATCCAGGCTCCATACTTGATCTCTGTTGACACCTCCCTGGCTGGAGGTTTTGGGCACCTTGTTACAGTATGGCTGGTTGGTAGTTTGGCCATAATTTTCTTTTTTTTTTAAAGATTTTTGTTGGCTGGTATAGAGCAATTATTGTCTAAATGTATTCTGCCTTATTCTGTTGTTCCTTTCCTGGCCCTTGGGTTTGAAAGATGAGGCTTCTAAATGGGGACTAATATTTTGTCTGTCCCAGTTGGTCTCTCTGGGTTGCTGGCTTCTTCAGCAGCAAGTCTAGGATATAGAAGCAAAAGAAAAATCTGGGGAAACCTCCAACGTTGCTCCTTGGGCCTCAAGATCCTAGTACATGCTTGCTTTCTTCTTTCCACCATTTAGAGTCTTCCTATATTTTCTTTATATATAATGTTCAGGGTTTTTTAGTTGTACTTGGTGGGAGAAATAGAGGAAATCACATTACTCCATCTTCCCAGAAGCAGAAGTCCATTAAATTCACATTCTTTTAAAAAACTTTCATAAGAGTAGACCTCCCTATCATTGACAGGCAAATACTGATTTTCCTTGCAATCTGGTCATTGGGCTACCTGGCAAACTGGAATTTAAATGACCTTGAGGTCTACTTTTCCCTTGATAAGTTTAACCTGTAACAAATATTTTATGTTTGGGGGTTCCATAGTTAACACATTTTTTAAAAGTAGTTATTGATTTCCAGGGTGTGAAACAGGCTTGCTTGAGGACAATCACACTTGGGTTGATGGTTGTAATGTTTCAAAGGGTTGTCCCTGGCTCAGGCTCAAGACTTTTGACGATGTTACCCACATGTACTAAGGTTGTTCATTATCTAATTAAACTAAGCACTAGCTTGCTAATGATATTTTGCTTGAGTCTAGATAAGGAGACTTGAACCATGGAAAGCATATTCATACCCATTACTCTCCCATATTATTCCCCCCAAATATTTCATAACATACCTCTTTCATTGAATTTAATCTGCTAAAACAGTGGGCTCAAACACTACTAGGAGTTTGGCTTAGACTGATGTCATGAATATCAACACACCTGAAAGGCAGGACAGCACTGACTTCATTGTGACAAGAGTTGGTGAAACAAATTTAAACCACAAGGAACTGAAGAAAACATTGCTCACTTTCGTTATTCAAAAACTGGGCCTCAAAATGTGAGAGCCTGAGCCTTAGATATAAATAACTGCAATTCCTATTGTTACTGAGTCCAAGCTTGTACTGCTCACCACATGATTGGCCAAAAAATCTAGAGACAAGGTGTTGGGGCAAGGAAGTGTGACTTTATTTGGAAAGCCAGCAGACAGAGAAGATGGTGGACTCGTGCCCCAAAGAACCATCTTCTCCAAGTTAGAATTCAGGCTTCTCTTATACTAAAATGGGAGGGAGTGTGGCTGGTTGGTGCAAACTTCTTGGCGTCAGAATCCTTTGGTTTTGCAGCAATCCACTTAGTTCAGGTCATGATATTCCTGTAATCTTCCAACAAGACAAATGTTATTCTATGTTCTGCAACTTTTTGTCTATATTAATGGAAAAGTGTTATAACTTTAAAGCTCAGAGTCTTGAGAATGGGCTATCCTGTATGTTTCAGGCTATGGGCAACATTCTTACCTTGTAGCAAAAGCAATAGAATACAAAGGTTAAAGTAAAAAAAAAAACAGATCCAATATGGAGTCAGATTTGTTCTTCTCTATTATACTGTGGCAACATTCATAAAAAAACTCCAAACATACATTACGTGTTAGAAAATATATTAAATGATAAGATATATTAAATAATAAGTCGCTGAATATACAGAGCAAAAAAGGGGGAAATCAGGGAGAACAAGGAGAAAAACATGAATTTCTGAATATTGGTGGCGCTCATCATCTCCTTTTTG